GAAGCTTACTGGAATTGGAACAAGTGGTCAAATCTTTTCTCTTTTCGGATGAAGATTTTTTACTTTAGCTTGTAATGGAAATTTTGGGAAGATGTGAACCTGAAATCGCTCGTCGTCAAGGAATACGCGTTGGCCTCTACTCAGATGAGGTACGAACTGTTGTAACATGGTCCCCACTGATTGAGGGCGAGCGCCAATGCACCATGTAATCCATCTGAGCTAAGAATCCATAATGGCGTTGCTGGCGCTTACTCAACGACTCCTAGCCAAACGTGTTTTCAGATGTACTGCTATTGTTAGTAAGTAAGTGATCATCCAATTGTTTTATCTTCAACTGCCTACATCGCCTTCAGTTGGCTTTGAAGCACAATTTCGCTGTTTCCAGTCCCCCTGATTAGCAAAAACCACTTGGATAAATTGTTTAACACTTCATTCACTCCAGAAAATTCTTTTACCTACGGATATGCTAGGTCTACGTATTTCTAAAAACGACGTATGACTGATGGGCGCGATAAACAAAAGTTCATCCACAAACTAACACTTGCTATTGCAGAAAGAAGACATTGACGATCGATTTAATCGCCTCTTCGTCGGCGACAAAAGTATGTTGTTTTAGAGACCATGAACTTATAACGGCTTGCAACTCAGCTGATAATAGTTGGACAAGGGTTACTTTCGGTTGCATATGGCTATTCTTGGTTTATCATTACCCTTACTCCATAACATTCTGACATAATCATCGATGGTGAGCAAAGACAACTCCAGTTACAGAGAATTTCGAAGTAGTCGTCTGACAAACACATCGCTATAAAATCCCTTTGATCGCTCGTTACATTCTGAAATTCAATTGAAAAATGACGTTGTGCCGTGATTACTGTAGTTGAGCCAAACATAGGTGTACATCAGATGGAGGACGGGGGGACGGAAAATTCAACCATTTCTAGATGGACGCAGCAGACTGCGCGGTGAAATTCGTGGTGATTTAGACGACTCTGGCTCCCATCACTGGGACGAAAATTCGAGGTAGGGTAGATAAGTAGCATCAGCTGGCCCCACTTATCTGATCTACTTGAAACCTGTACACCAATGATAGGCATCAGAGTAGTATAAATCAACACGAATTTCGCCGCGCGGTTCGCCGCGTCCATCCAGTAGAGGAAGAATGTATCCGCTTGGTGACGAATGAGAACCACGAGTTCTAATAATGGTCTTGTCACAGATCCCTACTTACTTGCTGACGAAGAGGGTCGACGTTGGGTGATCTGTCTGAAGCAGGAGTACCGTAACATGCTCGCCGCTACCCAGCATCTTGCACGTTCATTAGGCTTGGACTATTCCGGTAAGTTGGCTCTCTACTGCATTCTCTTCGGTAGTTGAAATATGGATTTCAGGATTTCCCTGTTCTGAGCAGCGATACGTGCTTGCCGACGCTTTTCTAGCCGGTTTGGCGGATTGCCTTCAAGGAGAGGCGTTGAGTGAAGCTGGAGCTTGGCTTGCTGCCCTCGGCAAACACCTCCCTGAAGAGGTGGGCATTGAGCAATGTTTTCTCCTTTCGCTTTCCCAGTCGT